GGGAACTGTCCACATTCAAGAAAGTGTGACAACGCAAGCTTCATTGCTTAGCAACGACGAGTAAACAGCGGTTGCTAGGCAAAGCCTACAAAGGTTACGGGAGATGTAAACATTTATTCATTCCAATATGCATCAATCTCGTTTCAAGAAGTTTCACTGCTGAAAAGGGAGCTGAATAGTGAGTGTTGCAGAAATGCATGATAATATGTGGGATGTTCCCACAGGTTAATTACTGGATTCAATTTACCATTACACTGGCAGGTGATTTTTTAAATGTCACACTGGAATTGAATACAGGATTGGCAGTAGACCTTTCCATGACCACCATCTTAGTACTGATAACATAAGGAATTTAAGAAAAACGGGAACATAAGGGAATGCCAGTACAACTTTCATACCGAGTTTCATGCTACTGATCTTAAGTCAGACATTTCAGTTACGGTGAAAACATGCTTTAAAATATTTGTAATGTGTTTGTTTGTTGATACAGATACAATGAAACCAATGTCTCTGTGGACAGAAATGGAAATAGATTACTTGAATATAAACACAATCTACCTATGTTATACTACTGGTTTTCTTTGGGGGCAGATGAAGGGGAAGTCACTTGGTCTGCCAACTGTGATCCTGAAGGTGAGTTCATGGGACACTGTATTTTAATCATAATAACCCTCAAGAACAGTAATCTTCCACCTTTACGATGACAGCGGCACACTTTTAAAAAATATTGGTTCCTATCTATGAGGGTTGGAACTTTAATAGTGGCAACACTGCTGTAGAGACACCTTGCAACAGAACCAAGTAATTTCGCTTATATCACATGTTAGTTACATACCTACCTCACCTCAGAGCAAATGGATTCTCACTTCCCATATCACACGCATGCACAGTGATGAGAAGAACAGAACCTCGTGTTAGCTGGCGGTCTAATGTAGTGTTGTCACGATGTTTTAGAAACAGGAACAATGGAGTAGGATAAAGATTGAATGTGCCTGAAACCATACAGCACAACAGTGTCATCAAGGTCTTCCAGAGGCTTGTGGGGAATCTGCATTGCCTTACAGAACAGTGGCAAGGTGGGTAAAAGCCTTCAACAAGGGACACCAAAATGTGGCAGACATGCATCAGCCAGGTTGTCCTAATGTCAGTGAAGAAGAAGTGTTTGCTCTTTCCGTGTTACTGGAGAGTCATTGACACCATACGATTTGTGAGCTGGCCCAAGAGACAGGATTAGTGCATACGACTGTGCTTCACATTCTGAAAGAATGCCTGGGCATGAGAAAAATTGCATCATGATGGGTTCCGCATGATTTGACGGAAATGCAGAAATGGCTATGATATGACACTGCTCGTAACCATTTGGAGCACTATGAGCACGAAGGAGAGGTTTTCTTACGCCGTATCATTATGCTGGATGAGGCATGGGCCAAATAGTATGAGCCACAAATGAAACACCAATCGAACAAATGGCGTCATTTCGGGTCACCACGAAAATCAAAAGTTTGCCAGAACCCCAGCAATGTGAAAGTTATGGTGATTCTCGTGTATAACTGTGATTGTGTTATCCTAACGCATACCATTCCCTGACACCAGACCGTCAATGTGCAGTATTACTGTTCATTTTTGGAACACAACCTGCAACCAGCTTTGAGAAAGAAGCAGCGACACTTTCTGCAGAACCCACCCATCATTTTGCAGGACAATGCTCGGCCACATGCAACGCAAGCTGTGGCTGATTTGTTCGATCGATGGGGCTGGGAAGTGCTGTACCATCCACCATACTCCCCGGACTTAAGCCCTTGTGACTTCAACTTAATTCCTAAGTCGAAGGAACCACTTCATGGCATTCACTTCAGAACTGTACCAGAGATTCTTCAGTCAGCAGACTGCTCCATTCGAACTATCAACACAATAGGCGCTGCTAAAGGTATCCTACGACTTCCACACGCTGGCAACGGGTTGTACACAATGCTGGTGACTACACTGAAGGACAGTAAAACTTCAAAACATGCATCTATTTTGTATCAGTTGTAAATAAATAGTTGCCACTATTAAACTTCCAACCCTCATACTAAACTACATGGCATCATATCCTAACTCATTATTTTTCCATATCAGGAACATATATTATCTTCCACTTTTTGCACACATATCTAGCGGCCACGATTTTTACATTTCAAATTCTATTACCTACATTAAGACAAATCTACTATTTCAGCAGCCATAATTATTCAGTTTTTCACTAGCACTCTGTGTTGCTGCCAACATCCTCAAGGTACAATAGTCTACCTTTATACCAATATTACCTGAACAAAATATTCTAATCTCTTTTTTCTCTATTCAGTTACTTTATCCACTTTAGGCAAAGGAGAAAAAGACCAGAATATTTACTTACATATGAGAGAGTATAAAGTGACAATTTACTCCTTTATTTTTAACTTGTTTGGATGAAAGTGAAAATGGCCAGAGAATATATTAAGAACAGATTATGGCAATTATAAATTTTTGGCTAGCAATGAGCTAGTGTTTACCTCAGAAAATAGAATGTCTGAATTATAAGCATTAGCAGGAATAATTATTCATCAACTGAAAGTTAATAAGGCACACCACAAGACAGACACACACTCTAATGATAGAGGAACATTAACAGGTTTTACTTTCTACTAATGAAGAACACACAAAAATATCTCTGCTTGGTGTATCAAACTTTTCTTTGTTCAATTATCTGCTCTTCAAGATAGAATTGTCCTGCTAGATGTGCCTCAGCTGCTAATGTTGTTTGCAAGGCTGAAAAACTCTTTTCTTAATCGCATTTTATATTGGTACTCTCTTTCCCATTATTAACTGTATTCAATATGAATGTGTGTATATATTCTTATTTTCTCACTGAAAAGTGGCTCATGAGATTGCTATTATTGAATTTTTATTGTCTAAATGACATAAGTTGTCCTGTTGTCTTTCATTTGTGTGTGTGTGTTTGTTTGCTTATTTTATAACTAGCTGTACCCTGCCACACGATGCTGTGGCTCAGTCTGGTTAAATGGAAAAGAAAAGAGAACAGTTAAGAAAATGAAATGGAAAACAATGAAAAATAAACTATACTCTTGAAATGAATGCTGTGGTAAATGACACGGCCCAATTCCAACGTAATGTCACACGAAATAATTAAATTAAAATGAAAATAAATCAAAACTGTTTATATTCGGCGGTAGCTATCCCAAGACTGACTCCTTCGGCGGTTATTTCCAGACTCTCTTCTGCAGCCTTCGGCATCTGCCCCGAGACTGCCTGCTTCTTGTCCAAGCTGGGCTATTTATACCTTGGCGGGTGCTATACAATGAGCCCTCTGTTGTCTATCACCGGGGAAATGCTGCCTGTTGATACTGAGATACCTACGCAACAGCCAACTGTTGGGGATACAGACTCACTTCTTCGGCGGTTATTCCAGACTAACTGGGCGAATGAATTGAACCCCCCTTTTATACCCTCGGACGCTGCTATGCAAATGAGCCTTTGTTATAACCGTGGAAACGTTGCTTTGTTGATTTCGCGAATCTCATGCAACTACCCATTGTTATTGCGTTGTCTCTGTGGGAACGCTCCATGTATTCATCGTAACTGTGGAGATTCGATGTTCTCGACACAACGGCTCACTGTTGGGATTACAGTATCGCTATTGTTACTTCATATGCAACAGTCTGTTCTAGCGTTTCCATAGAAGTGACTCTTCTGGATTCCAAACACGTTACAACAGATAGCGCTGTTTTTCAAAAGAAGCATGTTTTTACCTGTCACAGGTGTGACATCTACATAATAGGTACATAAAAACACATGCGTAATCGAATGCAACGTTGTGTCAAAATTTCAAAGCAATTGGTGAAGAACTTTCCGAGATTTAAGATCTGGAACAAACGAACATTTACATTTTTATTTATATAGATTGGCCTTTGTGCTGTTCAGTACGCATGTAAATACAAAATTGAATATATATATATTCACGTGACCCCTAACTTTCGTTGCGCCATCCATGTCACACTATATATAAAACAGTTGGCAGTTCATGATAATGTATGTGTGTTATGTTTCTTGTACTGCAGCACAGACAGTAGCTCTTCCTTCAAAACTGTTGCCATCTGAAGGATAAAAATGTAACTTAACTCATTCGTTTTAACAAAGAAATAAGGAATGAGTTAAAGGTGAGAATGGGCTTGAAGAAAGAAAAAACAAGGGCGAAGGAAAATTATGAAAGAATTAGTCTCCACTGAATCTGAATGGGTTTTCTACTGGTATATATTATGTGAATTCCTGATGACAAAGCAATAAATGCTGAACTGCGAAGTGTTAATGACAAACGTTTAGTGATCTTTGAAGGTTGGTTAATTAATCAGCTTATACACTCTATCTACTACATTTTGTATTATCACATCCTCTAAAGTGTGATCAAAATAACTGAAAGATCTCTAATTGCTATTTCCTGTTCAGCAGTTTAAGTGGCAGCCATCTCTCCCTTCATAATATTATGTAGGTTTTCTGTATTTTGTTATTGTGATATGTATCATATAATTACAGGAATTAGATATGACTTAAGTGCTTATTATTTTAGCCTATTTTGTTAGCTTAGATCTGAATATTTGTCTACAGATATTGATGGTGACCCCAGGAATGGTGGGTGGTCAGAGTGGAGTCCTTGGACATGCACTGTCACATGTGGTGGTGGGGAGGGACTACAGACACGCACCTGCACAAATCCTACTCCTAATGTATATGGCGAAGACTGTACTGGAGTGGACAAGCTGGAAGGTGTCTGCAATAATTTTAAATGTGGTGAAATCTCACCAGGTGAGATATTACAGCTGTAGTCACACTGAAACAAAGTTAACTATACAAAATAATGTGTTGTTCATGGTATTAACTTTATAATGAAATTCAATAAAACAGCTTTCCTCTCATGTTTTTCCTAGTCACAGTTTATGTCATTTTTTATTCGTTTAAGAATGTTCCATCAACTATGTAGATTATACAGTGTCACACTGCAGGATAGTGATTTGGGAACTCATAGAAGGAATTGTAACTGTCCAGTTTATGGGAAGGTCAATTGATGTTTGTGTATGGTTAGGGTTTTGTGAAATTCCTCACTTTCGCCTCACAATTTGAAATTTTCCCCCNTTTATAAATTGCAGCAAAAAATGAGTGCTTTTGATAGTTTATTGTAAGTCTTACACATCTATTCATCTTACTTAATATCCATATGCCATACCACTCAACATTTAGTTCATCTGAAAAAGGCTAAAACAGCTTTCCTCTCATGTTTTTCCTAGTCACAGTTTATGTCATTTTTTATTCGTTTAAGAATGTTCCATCAACTATGTAGATTATACAGTGTCACACTGCANAGGGCTGGCAGAACCGAAGAAGGACGGTTACAGAATGAACTAATGAATAATAACTTCAAAGGAAGCACTCATGGACTAACAAACGTACTACCTTGGAATCTGTCAGAAGGGAAATGAAGAAACTGACAAAAACACTCAGACAGGATAGCCAGTGTTCCAGTTGAAATTGGCAAAAAGGACCTCCCAAATACAAATCTGAAGTGTTACTGTTACACCAACCTGCTCAGTCTTGCATTCCAAGATTAGTATTTAGTCAGGTACTTCACATAACCTGTTCTGTTCAACCTTCTTTTCAGCCATCAACAGAGAAATTAATACACCTGCTCAGTCCTGAACACAAGAATAAACCACCACTTCGTTCTCTCACTGTTCTATTGACTCAGTCAGAAAATGTTCAATAAAACACAAATTCTCTTTGTTGTTCTGTTGACACTTTAGATTATACAAATTAAACTATACTTTCATAACAGTAATGAAAAGATTTTCAGGAGTTAAATTCTTACAATATTTTACAGACACAACGGAGTATTTACGATACCTCCTCCGGAAAAGCCACCAAAGCTCACAAGTACTTCAAGGACAGCAAGTTGAACTGATATGTGATCAGGAAGCTCTGGGTAGAATTCAGACTGAGGCTCCTACATCTGTAATTAAATGGGCTCTGAATGGTGTGGATGTCAATCTAAAAGAAACGAGAGCTTTTGTGAAAAATAACAACAACCTTGGTAACTTAATCACATTATTTATAGTACATACACAACCTATTTAAGAGATTTTACTTTTATGCAACTAATATGAACTATTATGAAACTGAATGATGTTGGACCCAGGAGCCATTTTACAGTTATCAAAAAGGAATAAAAAGCACTCACATGGGCATGGCATTTATAATTCTGAAGCATTGAGACTTTTATGCTATCATAAAGGTTTAATTTCTCTGGCATTTAGTCCAAAAATTAACATTTTTTTATCCAAAACCATCTTTTGTGTATCAAACTGATTATCATACAAAAGTGTGACAGCAAAAAGTGCTTCATACAGAATTTGTAGATGTGTTTATAAATTTCACTAGTCAAGTTACAGTGATTAAGAAAATATATTCTGAATGGTAACTCGTTATTTACCAATATCCTACAAAATAACCTCAATGAAATTTGCTTAATTTTAAACACCTATCACTATACAAAGTTCAGTACCCTACAATAAATGGCACTAGCATTGTTCCCACCTCACAAGTCTGAATATCACTTCCATGTTGGAGTCTGATGATAGGGAGCTAAAAGTACCACGATATGGAGGTCTTCAGTGGCATGTTCATATTAAGATTCACAAAAAACAGATTTCTTAATGTCTATGATGTTCGAAATCAAATAAGATGAACAGCCATGTGCACCTCACTAATATGATTTTAGAGAACAGAGTATCTTCTTTGGAAACATAAAATGAAAATGTTTCATGATTGAAGATATTATGCTGAATCTTAAAAGGAAAAGCTCTACACAATTATAGGAATATGTTTCCAGAAACTAAGTTTAAAAAGTAAATTCTGTTTGTATTTCCATAGTATGACTTTCAAAAGACATTTGCTTATAACCTCACTAATAACTGTACCTTTAATTATTTCTGTATCTAATAATTAACATGTATTATTTCAGTTATACGCCATGCAGATCCGAGTGACTCGGGTGTGTACACATGTATATCTCTCCAAGAGCCTCAGTTGCAGACTTTCATCAGTGTCGCAACACTGGCTGTGAAACCCAAAACTCCCACAATCAAAACAAGAGAAACTCGATCAATACAACTATACTGCCAAAGTGAATTATTAAGCTACGTATACAGAGATCTTACTCAGAGATGGGAAGTGAATGGTACACTCAGGAAGGATTATGGATTTACCACATTGTCAGCAGTGAGTGCAGTCTTAATTAAAACAGTGCTTGTAATTCTTCTCTTCTCTCTTTGAGAGCAGAGCAGACCATTAAACTGGTGCCCTGCTATGCAGCCTGGGAAATCTTTGGGCTCCAAGTAAAATTTTAAATGTATGTTATGTAAACGTGACGCTGTTCATACAACATTAACACACATTAATCTCAGTTCAGATTATGAACCAAAGACAGAATTTTAAGACTGACATGCTACAAACAATAAGGTTTATAGTTAAAGAACTTCATATCCCAGTCTGTAATAATTAACACCTGCATTTAAAATATGGGAAAAAGACAATGCAACATAGAAGTACAAACATGTTAAGAAGGTTTCATCTTACATTAACCCACCACACATGACAACTAATTAACAAAACTGCCAAAATACATATAATTCAAGTAGGAAGACTTTCACCTCTATTTACCTAAACATATAAACCATACCTAAAGGAAGAAATATTAAAATAAGTGGGAAGAATATTCTGGAGTTCACATTTTCAAAATGAATTCCTTACGATATTGTATTCCTCTTTGGTGATGAACGTTCACCTACTGCAACACAAATATATTATGGACAAGCCCAATGAATGGAGACTATAATGTGTAGACATAAATTATGTTTCTGACAAAAAACTGCCTTTTGTACAGATTGGTTTGCATTATTTTTCTAATATTATGCACTCTGTTTGGGAATACCTTACTCCAATTGCATGTGGCTATAATAATTGATACTGTGTGAACTTGATCTCAGTGTCATATCTCTCCAAGCCCCTCACTTAGTGGAAGGTATTTTTCTGCTCAGTGGCATAGAAATCTCAACTAGACAGGCATGCTTTTCTCTCTCTTGAAGGGCAGTATCTGATTACGGGCACTCAGTATTTTCTTGTGTATAAAATGCAGTCTTTCAAAATTGTCCTTAAAATTTAGGTACCTCTTATACATCAGTGTGGGTTAAAAAAAGATCTTAATTTTTCTTTCCTAAACCACTATGCATTTTATATTTTGGGGAATACGGTAGTTTGTCTGTGATGATGGATTGATTTCAATATAGTTAATGTCTGTGTCCAGTATACTCCTGAATATGTGTTAATGAAGGGGGGAAATGGGTATGGATAACTGAAAAACATGGATACTCCAAGTTTCAAGCGTGATTTTGAGGCCATTGTGAGTACTGAATATAGAAATATGGAAATGTATGTAGGGCATTCGATTTGTTCAACTGCCTTGAAAACAGTTAAGCCATAGGGAAAAACGGTACTGGATGCACAATGTGTTTCATCTTTCTCTACACCTCATATCTGCAACATTTCTTGCTCTGATAAATATTTTGTTTAGATATGCATAGAAACACATGTAGGTCATGTAAATTGGGCATTAAAATTGTTCAATGTCAAAGAAAGCTGAAATGGCCTAAGAATTCTTTGTAAAATTCTCCAATACCAAATCTGATGAAAATGCATCAAGAAGTTCTCAAGTTATTTCATGCATACATACAGATGCATTGACAGGATGGGAAAAATTTAACAGGCACCCTGTAGGGTTATATTCTTACTGTTATCATCATCATCATTATTATTACTATTACTATTATTGCTGCTGTTGTCATCATCATCAGAATATGTATATAATAAGAATTCACTAGGCCATATATGAAATCACTACAGCATGAAGGTTTCTGAGTCAGTTTTGATATTTGTAAATAGTCCTCACAATATTGAGTAGCTGGGATAGTGCAGTCGGTATGGCAACTGGCTACAGGTTGGACAACTTAATGGTTAGTTTGAGTCACAGTAGGGTCAAGAATGTTCTCTTCTCCACATCATCCAGATCCAGACCAGCTCTGGGGCCCACCCAGCCTACTGTACATTGGGTAATGGGGGCTCTTTCCCCAGGATAAAACGGCCAGGGCATGAAGCTGACCACTCACCTCCAACTAGTGTTGAGGTAAAGAAAATTTGGATCCATATATCCACTCCCCATACGTCTTCACGGCATAGTGCTTAATTAGTTAAGCACAGGGACAACTTTACCTTTACTTTACAATAATACTGTCTTAGCAGTATCACAGTTTCACAGTATGTATCCTGTGATCCCCAGCAATAGTGAACTGAAGGAGAGATGTTAAGCAGATGAATAAAAGAGCCACAGAATAGAATAAGAGTAGCATGTCTTTTATTGTCATGATGTACTGATTTCAATATTACAACCTCAGTGCCACTTGGCATTTTCACTTTCAGACATATTTATAATAATGATTTCAACATTTTAACCTTCACAATTTTAGAGGAAAATTTCTTTACATAGTTACCTCTAAATATATGTAACCCTAAGTTCTGGAACTTAAAGTTTAAACAAATAATTCCAAAGTATATCATGATTATGACATATTTAGATGCCTGCCATGAAAAAGAAACTGATTTTCATCTTCTCCCATAAGCTACACCATTATTTTCATACGGTTCACATGTTGCCATTTGGACATGCCCCTCTTTGGCATGTTACCAGTAACTTAACTGTAAACACTGTAACAGAAATGATACATCTATTCTTCTCCTTCCAGCTGTATGGTAAACCGTGATGTGGGGGTCTTCCTGTTCACATCACAGACAAAGAAAGGGACTCTTTTCTGATAATGCATATGTTTAAATGACCTGTTCCAGTTTATGGCTGAACATGAGATGATAAATGACATAACACAGGTTCTGGTGCAACAGAGTTCCTCCCAATAAGTTTCTTGCTTGGTGCCTTGTGAATGAATCCCACCTGGTCCTCTTCACTCCCTTACTGAAGCTCTCTGTCTTTTAATGCAGGTTACAGCAAACATACTTGGTAACATAATAACTACCAATAGAAACTTAGACAGACTTCTTACATTTTGAAACTTGCAGGTGAATACTGAGGAAATTCGGCATGTAAAGCTCTCAGATGCTGGAGAATGGAAGTGCGTTGTACGGCAGCCAGAGCTCAACTTTGAATGGGTGACCAACTGGATAATAGTTGAAGGTATAATACAGCAGCAAACTGAGAGTTCTATCAATATGGTTGTTAGTAGATAAATCACGCTGTACATTGGTATTTCCATAACATTCTATTAATATTATTATTATTATTGGAGGGGGTGGGTCTTCCCATGCACCGTGACTAGTAGTCTACTGTATGCCCCCCTTTGATATTCTACCAGTCGCCATACCCTGCCGGTACTGGTGCTCGCTATCAGCCCCGTTCAGCCAGCAAGGCTGGCAGTGGTACCCGATAACTTCCCCATCTACCGGAGGCATTGGAAACTACTTGGGCGGGAAACTTTGCCTAATTTTGCTCAGAGGTCTCCTAGAGACATGAGGATCTTTTACGTGTCGTAAATCTACGACACGGGACCCATGGCTTAAAGTCCCTCCCAGACGACTTGTTCCCTAAATTTTTCCGCCCTTAAAAATTCCACGACCTCTGGTGGGTTTGAACCCGCGTACCTTGGGTCATGAGGTGGGAACGTTACCCCTAGACTACGGAGACCGCTTTCTATTAATATGTAGTGGACATATGATTTGAATGGGAAACACGGATTGCTGAAAAACTTTGGTGGAGAAGTCTCTTGGAAGTCAGCCAGGTGGAGGACTAAGAAGGTGACCAGATAATAATAAAATGGATGCTATGAAAATAGGGTACAGTTATGTGAACTGGTTCAGGACCATGTCCAATGGCAAGCTTTGGTATTTACAGCACTGAACTTTCTTCAGTTTCTATTACCAGAGGGTGAAGCATTTTATTGGACTCAAATGTCAAATACACCTGATATGAAATACACATGGAAGTATGAACAATTATATTGATTGATTGATGGATTTAAAGTTGACTCAATCACACCGCCAACACATTAAGAACATAAAACAAAGACTGGTATCCAGAATATCAAAATAAGAGTGCACCATATGTCTCTCTACATATAGGTTTGTTTTCTGTAAGTCATTATACTGACATGAACCATACTCTGTTGATACCATGTTATTTTCTGCAGTGAACCATGCACCAAATTTCCTCACATATCTGATGGAAGATGCTATGACAGCCCCTGTGTTCCGGCACTTTGGAAGTGAGGCACTTGTATTAACATTTCTCATAGGATTTCTGCTGCTGACTATTGCTGTGGTTGCTGCACTGACATTTGTACATCTAAGGTAAAAGCAGATTTTCTAGTACACTAGACAAGATCGACTTAACAACTCCATGAATATAACCTCATTCTTAGGTTTACAAATTGAGTAAAGTCTGGTTTCACTTCTTTTCTTCCAAATTATCTTCATTACACTGCTTTTTTCCACTGAAAAGCACCACACCCCCACACTAACTCCAACTATTCGTACAACTGGTATGACACTGCAACAAAGTCACAGTCGTTATTATGGAATTCATCACACACACACAAAAAAAAAACAACTGAAACTGTAGCTGATAATAAAAACAATGCTGATCCTTTTTTCAATTTTTGTGGCATTGTTCATCAAGTCTGTTCCAGTCAGTTAATCAAGCTGATTGCCTGGAAGTACTGAGGCATGTGAGGGATGTGGCACAGCTCACACAGCATTGCTGATTTGAGAGTTCTTGGCAAACCATTTGATTCATGTGCTTCGACAACCTCCCTACTCACCTGACCTATCCCCTTCATATTATTTTGTTATTCCCCAAAACAAAAAGAACTTGAAAGGAAGAAGATTTCGCCATTACAAATATAATGAAGGAACTGGGGTTGATTCAGCAAGCATCCTTTGAACAGTCCTTCTAAAAAGGAAAAAGGTGATAGGAACAGTGCATTTCTGCTCAAGGGGATATGTGTATCTATAGCGTAAGTTTTTAAATAAGATTGCTGATGAATTCTGGCAACATTCTAAACGAACCTCATAAGTTTGTGCATAATTTCTGCTGGTACAGATCTCAACTGTGCTAAATGTACCCAAAAATGACACTGTTAATAAGTTAGTGTTCATTAATGTCCAAAAGTGAGTTTCATACAGAAAAATTTATGATCCATTTCCAAACAAACTTTTGCTCAAACAGAGAGCTAAATGAATGCTATGAACAGCCAGTATGTTGTTGTTTTACATTTTACAAAAAGATCACTGCCCTAACAGAAGTTGCTGACTTTTCTAAGATCTATTACCATAAAATTTTTTAGATCCAATGATAGTAATGGCAATAGTGTCACTCCTATCTCACAATGTTGCACACTCACCATGGATAGTAAATTCAGAAGCACAAAGGTGGAATGGTCTCATACAACATTTCATGAGACACAAATTCAAAAGGTGGGGGACAGTAGATGGACACACTAACATGATGAAACAGTAGGACTGTCTACATGTCTCTAAATATTAATCATGCAAATTAATTGGATTTATTTTACAGATGGTTTCGACTACGATGATCTGAAGAAAGTTACAGTGCCCTGTTAGCACTTTCCTAGTGCTCTATAAACTACACTCGTGTATCATCTGAGAATAACCAAGGAAGACGAATTGTGAATCCCAACTTTGAACTATGTCAGTTACTTTGACAAATGGCTTGTCCAGTGGTATATTCCACATGATGATTAAACAATGTGTATTTTTTAGACTATTGCAGAATATTTACAGAAACTACACAAATATATATAAATTGGGTTTTCAATGATTTCCAAGCCCAGTTACAATTCACTTGGGGTCAGTGTGTCATTAGCAGGACTGTGAAAGGTCACCAGGTTCTTTCTTTTAATGTTGATACAAGCCTGAAAGACTGTATCCTACTGGTAATCAATTTAAGATCACAGTACAAAACTGTTAATTAGTAACATCATGTCACTATTATTTTCTTTTTATAGTGTGAGAACTTGTCTGTAAATCTTCAAAAGTTGTAACTAAGGATTTTGCTTGTCTTACAACAAAAGCAGCAGATTTGCAGTTCAGAATTGAAAACATATTTGTTTGTAGGATAGCAAAACAAAATGTTTCCAGGATACTGAGATGACGGATGAAAGCCAGAATAATGGAGACAGAATAGGCGGCCACTGCTAGACAATGACAGAAGACAGAGATATATTGGGTTTTTGGACTTTATCCATCGTCCTGGTTTATCCATCCAGGACGATGGATAAAGTCCAAAAACCCAATATATCAGTGTGTTATACACCATCGTCAGAATCCTATAGTAACTAATGACAGAAGAGTTTTTGGAAGCGGTGTTTTCTGTGCAGTCCGTGCTGAGGCTATATAACAAGGACCAATGGAAAGCAATAAGCACACATGCTAGGGAAACGTTAGGGAATCGCCCGTCTGTTTTGCTTGCCGGACCGCTGGCTAGAAGTCAGTGCGTATCCGGAAGGTCCTGCGACCGGCCATCTCGACACAGGTTTTCTTGGTTTTCCTCTGTCTTGTATGCAAATGCTGAGATGGTTCCCAAATTCCAAGTTGCTATTGCATGCTTCTCATGCAGCCCTCCTGATTTAAATTCATCAAAATTACCAAAATTATACACGTAAACTCAAATTTTTGAAATTAAAAGCTCCGCGGCCCCTCTCTTTCAACTCTCTCAAGTCGTTGCTTCTAATCATCTTAACGCCTACACTTTCACTTTACTCTTACCAGAAGGACGAGCGGGCAAAGCCTGGGAACCTTCTTAAATCGATGCTCTTTCTTTCTTTCTTCTTTCTCTTTCTCTCTCTCTCATATATTAGTTGGTTAGTTACAAGGTTCTCCACACCACTGTATTTTTTTCCAAGGTGCACACTGGTCCATGATTTGCACATGCCTTCCGAACAATTATATAACAAAACTGTCTAGGCAACAAGCATAGGTCACACACAAATCATGAGAAAGACCATATTCACAAGGCAAAGCCAGACACATAAAATATAAGAGGCTTAAACTTGGTGACAGTCAAGTTTATGACTGCTCAAGTGACTAAGCTGCTGTTGTGGAATAAAATATATAAGATAGGCATGATCTGCTTTGCAAACTCTGGACTGACAGAGAACTTATGCCACGTTTTTTGGGGCAGGGAAAAGGCAGAATTTTCAGTAACATGCTATATGCAAGATATGCCCACACATTTTCATAAGAGACAAACTAATCCCTTGTCAGAAAGGTTGTTACACAAGGTCTATGACCGTAGAGAACCCCCCCCCCCCAAAAATTGGTCGTTAGCCACAAGAGGTTTGGAACCAAGATGAACAGATTGGTGGTAAACCGGCAGTCGTAAAGTAACTGAGAGTTAGTTAGTTGTGAACTAGATGCCATCCAGCAATGACTCCTAAAGACAAACAGAGTGAGAAGACTTGGCATAATTGTAATAATTTTGTATTGTGTGTAGATTAGTGAGTATTACAGTCATTTGTAGTTACCAGTTATAAGGGTTCAATAAATCCAATTATCAATCCAAACACCATCTCTAGGCACTAACACATCACAGTATTTTGACTGGTGGAGATATAGACTTATCTGAAGTCCATGCTGTTCACAAAGATAAAGACAAAGAAATTTAGATTTTGCCAGTACAAATCATACAACAAATCAGATAATAGGGCACTTACATGTTTCAACTAATACATGAATGTTAGTGGCACTGCAAGGAACAATTACTCTTTCATAAAATGTAAGAGGATGTGACACCACGCATTTTTACCATTAACCTCTGTGGTGTCATATGATGATAACTCTTGTCAATGCCAAATATGGGTATTCATCAATTTTCAAACATAATTCATTCCATGAAAACTGTTTGTAAGATGGAAATTTGTAAATTGAAAATAAATTACCACATACTTTACATGTAAGTCACCAAATTTACTCGTACATGTAAGTTGCCTGTTGTAGCAAAAATTAAGCTCGTTATGTGAAAAACAGGTACAAATTAACATCTTTCACTGTAGTGAAAATTCTTAAATCCAGTGTTCGTAAAACGTGGGATAATTATACGTAGATTGCTCCATGCACTGGTCCATGATTGGCATGCATATTGTTATGGTTGACTAGCAATGAAACAGCAGTAAACATAAGAATACTGTATACAGCCTCCAATTAATGACCTCAGAGAAGTGAGAAGGAAACAGGGTAAGAGAAGGAATTTTATTTTATATGAATGCCTGCTCCCTACAAGTATAGCATATACAGTTATTTGTTGCATATTATTCTTACTGCAGTAAACCCCTGGTTATCCAGGATCCAAGCATCTGAAATTCTCATCCAGCTGACAAAAATTACAAAGAAAATGTAAAAATTCTGTAAGGTTATTCAAAAACAAATTTGCAATTTTCATTATATTCACCCAACCCATGGTGGGTCTCCCAGCTGCCACTAGATGCACTGCCCCTAATCCTTCCTTATGCAAGTGAAATTACAGCAGAGGTTAGTCAAATGTGTTACAGTACATATATCCAAAATCTTGAACCCATCAATCTGCTATGCTGCCTAGGAAGACTTCCATGCAAGATGAAAGTGAAAACATGTTGTTTAACTTTGTATTGGGTTCCTGCAAGAGTTTTATTCATGTAGTTGGCAGACCCAATTTCCTGTATATGCTAGATAATGGGGAATTTACTGTACAAGTTATTGCAGTTTTCTGACTGCTGATTGTAAAATGCACGGGAAGTTATTTCTCACACCCAACTGAATACATGCATGGAAATGGAAGCAGCATTGTGATTCCTTAACAAAATGTTTGGAGAAAAATCTATTCCAAGGGCTTCCCATGTTCCAGCTGACTCACTGACAAGGAAAGAAATTAATTCTCATAATAGAGATAACTATTAAATTGTTATCTTTTTACATACAGGTACAATAAGCAGAACTTCTTTTAAAAACATTGTAGATATTTATTATCAGGATATGTTTATCTCATTGCTACAGACAGGTAAACAGTATGCTTACTTTCAGAAGATTTTCTCATTTGTATGTAAGTCGCTGTTGTAGAATACTGTGCGCTTCATATCTACAGAGACATAGCTTCTGAAGCTGGCTGGAAGACATCAGACACATGAGAAGGAGCACTAGGAAGTCGACCAGGATTCTGTGAAATTAGAAGGGTTTTTTACCTAAACAGTAATGCATTCATGTCCAAGACACTCACATACAAAAGTGATTTGTACAACAATCTGTCACAGTGATAATGAAGTGGAACTGAGATATATCACTACAAATGTATAGAAGACAAACATTTTCATCTGAAAGATATGAATAGTGACTTAAATGTCTAATTACTCACCAATTTCTTTGCTCTGTCTTCAAGAATTCCATACGCAAAATGATTCAGCTGCAAATGGAAAGTTTCTACTATTACAACACAGAAATAATATACTGGTAATATGAAAGATATGCAACTGAAACAGCCAAGTAAATAAATTATATGAGGCCAAAACTGTCTCTCACAAAAAATATCTGTTTGTTATATTAAAAGGATTATTCAGTGTACATGCAGAGTGAATGTGAATGCCATTTTGAGGATTTTCTAAAAATCACAATTCTTAACACTTACCAAAAAGCCTTTGGGCAATGCTACACCTTGGAATCGATACAGTATGCCCTGTTCAGTCTCAATTTGATGTACCTAAAAGCAATAAAGCAAACTTTTTTCTTTTTCTTTTTTGCTGAGGGGGGGGGGGTATTTCAATGGGCTCTGAATATGTTCTAGCAAGGAGAGATATACATGGTGCTATCCAAAAGTTCCTGAAATATATTACTAAAAACTATTACGTTTTACCTGGAGCTTATTCTGCACCATCACCTTCAAAGTAGTCCCCTTGGGAGTGCATACACCAATCCCAGTATTTCAGCCACTTTTGAAATGCATCCTGGAAGTCTTTCTTTGTTAGGGTGTTTAGTACCGTCTGCGTTTCCGCCTGAATTTCCTCAACTGTATCAAATCTTCACCCCTTCAACTTGATTTTCATCTTGGGGAAGAGAAAGAAGTCTCATGGAGCTAACTCTAGCGAGTACGGTGGGTGGGGAACAACTGCCATCTTGCTTTTAGCCAAAAATTCCTGCACAATGTAAGCCGTATGCGGTTGTGCGTTGTCATGGTGGAGTACCCAGCTGTTCGTGCGCCACTTCTCTGGGTGTTTTCTCCTCATGTCCTCCCTCAAACACCTTACAACATTGCGATAGAACCCTTTCTTGACTGTCTGACCAGGAGGGACAAACTCCTTATGAACAATCCCGTCAATATAAAAAAAAACAGAACAACATGGACTTCATGTTGCTCTTGTTGAGCTTTTTTTTTGCCAAGATGAAGGGCTCTTCCACTGCGACAACTGCTGCTTACTTTCAGGATCATCACCATAAACCCAACATTCATCACCAGTGACAACCTTCAAAAGAAAGTCTGGATCCTCTTGAAGCTGTTGTTGAAATTCTCTGCAGACTTCCAAGCGATGCTGCTTCTGTTCATTTTGCAGCAGTTGTGGCACAAACTTTGCTGCAGTCCTCCTCATGTTCAGTTCCTCTGATAAAATGCGTTGACATGTACCATAACTTAGTCCCAAGGTGTTACAGAGGTCTTGGATGGTCAGTCTATGATCCTGCAGAATCAGATCCCTAACTTTTGCAACATTTTCTGGTGTGGTGCCAGTTGATAGCTGTCCTGAACGATTGTCATCATCAGTCGATGTTCAGCCATTTTTTAAACACTTATACCAGTCGTAAGCTTGCTTCAACATTTGGTGCGCTTCCGCAGCGATTTTCCCAAGTTTAAAACAAAACTTTATACAGACATTCTGCTCTCTCAGGTCAGCCATCACAAAACCACAGATTCACAGAAACACAACAAAGGAAATATGTTCACCAACAATAAACCCAACCACTCAACTCGACGCCGCTTGCCACACTGATTCAAGAAGGGTGTATGTGGGGAGACATCTAGCGGTATTCGCACAAAATTCAAATTTCAGGAACTTTTTGATAGTACCATGTATGATCCATAAAGCAAGTAATCAATCCATTCTGAGTAACACACACACAAATATAATATTGAAATAAATCATTTTTTGCCCATTCATATATCTTTATACGCTTCACTCCTATACAGTCAATTAAACATGGCCCCATATTTTGTGCATTGTATAACATCTTTATATGGTGTAGCATGTGGCTTTGTGATCATAAAGCTCCCTTACTGCTATCTCTTCTCACCAATATCCCTCCTAAGCACTCTCAATATGTTTCCAGTTACTGTGGTGGAACTATCATGCAGTCACTTTTATAAAGTTAATTACTACAGTAATGATTCATTATTCTATCCAGTCCAGGAAAGTCAAGAGACAAAAACAGTATTTTAACATCCCAGTCTCTCATAAATATTAACAGAAAGTTTCATTAACAACTTCCAATAGAAAAAACTGTTTTATGTAGCGTTTCTTAAATAAATATGACTGTCTAACACCTGCTAAAAATCAATATTCGACTGAAAATTCAATTCTACTATTAAAGTGCTTAAACAACTAAAAGCCAATTATAGGCAAACAGTGAAGAAATAAAAATACATTCATGAAGAAGCTGTGAACAGACATAGAAAAAGAAGAAGAGAAACTATACGAAGAACATAATGCAATGTAATAATGTATCAGATATAAACAAGACACCTAAACTATTATTATTCATGTTATTAACATATCTAATAACATTCATTAAACAAAAGAGCTTTCTGTTAAAAAATCAACATATCTGCATACATGATTTGCTGTGGAAAATGAAAATTATTATGAATGGTATAAGTCATTTAATAGGTCATCAACCAGAATGTGAAACCGAAATCACTGGTGTATGCCATGGTACAGAGTGACACACTGAACATGGCCTGTCGAGTTAGAAGCTAGGCAAGGCACCCACAAAATTCAAAGAAACATGGATGTCGTTAATTCAGATAATTATTTGACGGAAGCATGAATGCGGATCCCTTCTTACCAGGAGGGTGTGAGTGCATTTTTCAACAAAGGTAAGCTTTAGTGACCCATTAATTAACCCGTTGCCGTGGTTCGTCGTGTATGTTTCGTCAGGGATTTAAATCGTCTGGGGGGGTTCGACGTGTATGTTTCGTCCAGCTGCACACGTATGTTATAACGCCCATAATAATTGATGGTTTTGCTGTAGATTGTTAGATTTTTCACTGGCCTGTTGTCAGGAGGACTGTATTTAATGACACACGCGTTTAAGAGCGCTAAGTCGTCGTTACATATGCCTGTCTTGCAGCAACGTTCCTGTGGCTATTGCGAGCTGTTTCTGTTATGAATGATGTGTTTTGTTTGCTCTGANTTTCTCATACCTCTCAAACAAATTCAAGAACTGAGAAGTTGCAAACTTGACAAGGAACACTAATGTAAATCAAGTTCAGTGGTATGCCCACAATCCTAGATGTGACAAAGCCCTGTTTTTCATTTTGGAATGTTTAATGCATAGTTTGGGATTAACAATTTTGGAGACAACGGTTTAAACTTTGTAAATGCCTAAGTGCCCATTTTTTCTTTAATGAAAATATACAATGCTTATCAGTAGACCAATGGGAAGGTGTATATTTATATTGGGAGGTTTGCAACTTTGATCTCCAAAGCAGGGTGGTTGATGATGTCCCAGGACCTCAAGGAACTGTGTAGTGACTCCTGGGTCATTCAGACACAAAGCCTATAAGTAGAGTCTAAAGGGTTCTGATGATGGTGTATTATAACACAATTACTGGGTTTTGGGACCTTTTCCATTGGCTGGTATTCTAAAAACTAGAAAACACAAGTTTCGGAAATTTGATTTCTTTCCATCTTCAGGTGAGGGGGGAGAAACCTACTCTATTGTGTCCCTTAGAACGAGCTAACCTCAATCAGTGATCCAGTAATTGTGGCTAGGTCTTTCTAAGGGAGCTCACATGCTTACTTGGTGGTTCAGTGCTTCCTTGGTCTGTGGTTTTAGTTGTTTTACTGTGAATATATCATAGTTTACGGGCAGTGTTCTGTTTCCATAATAAAGTTATACATTATTTATTACATTTTCATAATGTTTTCCAGAGTTTATAGCATATAAAGGTGAGGTGAAGTTGTCCCTGTGCTTAACTAATGAAGCCCTATGCCATGAAAGCGTATAGGGGAGTGAATGTACAGTTCCACGTGTTTATAGCATATAGAGTTAGTTGTTTTACATTCTTAACTAGACAGTGGCTAGACAGAGCTAGATAGCTCTGACATGTTGGAAAATTTAGCTACAACTGACAGTAATAGTAACTGTATTCCAGAAAGTGACACTGGTGATACAAGTTAAGAAGAAGTTCCCCACATGCCACACTCCGGCTCCTCACCTTGTGTCTGAAAGTGAAGCGGATGAAATGGAAGATGACAACTACGGGAAAAATCTGTTATCTGAGCAACCTCTCACTCTTCCTTTCCAATTCCAAGAATTGTTTGTACCTAAGCATGTGCATCCACCTGATTTTCTTCCTACTGTTTGCTTCTATCTCGGTGACAGAATCCAGCAGATATGTGCAGCAAGTGACTAGCAGTAAAGCGGTTAATGTGTCTACTCTGCTAGAGAACTAGACCAGAATTATCATGCATGAGATGAAGGGATTCCTGCTTGTATTCTAAACATGGGCATCATCAAAAAGACAACCATAGCATCATACTGGTCCACTCTCTGTTCTCAAGCCACCCCATGTTTTATGAAAATGTTTACAAAGCATCATTTTTCCCACTTGCTTGTCTTCTTCAACCTCGTCAACAAGAAAGGATTGCCAGGCCCTTGAGAACCACACTACAATCTCTGTGTAAGGTGCCAACCCCTTGTGGACCATGCAAACAAGGTATTCAGGCATCAATACACCCCTCATTAAGGAATCAGTTTCGATGAAAGCCTGCTAGGTACCAAAAACAAAACCAGTCTCACGCAGTATTTGCCCAACAAGCACCACCAGTATTGGGGAATAAAATTTTGGACGACACCAGATCAACAAGGGCATGCAGGTCCATCCCCCACTTGCACTGCAGCTCCAAGCTTCAGGGTTAATGTCCTCCAATTAACCTTGCCTATCTTCCCCGCCACAATACTCTATATCTGCTCTGGCCTACTACCTGCTGGCCACCTCCCCAGACCCTTCCCCTCTCTTCTCTACTGATTTCCCATGTAGCCCCTCTCCCTTCCATTTCCCATGTAGCCCTTCTCCCTTCTCTTCCTGCTCTTATACAGCTGGGTTTATCCGACTCGCTCATGGATTTTCTTCTCTTTTCTTCTACCCTGAAGATGGAGGCGATACGTTCCTCCGAAACGTTGGTTAACATAATATCTACATGGTGCCACATCCCAGAAGACTGCCTTCTTCAAAATTTTGGATGTTGTGCGATTCTGTGTCCAACTACTGCCTAGGGTCTCTCACATAGAGAGAGGCCAGGTCTCATGAAGACAAGGACAACATCCAAAGAATGGCCTGGGGTACAGCATCATGAAAAAACTCCTTGAGATTCGAGGGTACCTCAACAAAGGCTACCATGTCTTCATAGACAACTATTTCATGACTGTTCCACTTATCTGCCATCTCCATCAGCTAAGCACCTATATCATTGGAACTGTCAGGAGGAACAGGAAACTTTTAACCCAGCATTTCAAGAACAAATTTGTAGTTGGGCAAAAAAATGTATCACAGATCTGGTGGAAAAATCTAGTTTCTCGAAAATATACACCGATAATGAAGGAGAAAAGGAGCATGTTTCTGCTGTAATGATGTGATCTGGAATGAAATACTCACAGCTGTCACGGTGCATTTTCCCACAAAACTGGTGTCCCCCACCATGGGGCCTCTGCTCAAATCTATGTGGTCACCAACACGATACAAAACTACCGTTTTTCCTAAAAAGAAAGTAAAAATACTTATATTTCTTGTATGGCAAAATTGAAGTGCAATCCTCATAAATTCAAAAGCTAGGAACAGACTATTTTACTTCCAGCAGTTAGGAGCACAATCACAATACAACACTGCATTAACCTTTAACATCCGAAGTGCCCCGATCAGTCTTGTGATGAGTACTGATTATAGGTGTCATGACAAAAGTACACCGATTTGGACAGTTGGGCATTTAAATGCTGCTAGTGGAAGCACGTGCACATGCCACTAGCAGAAGTGCATGCACAATCCTGAATATTTGTTTTTAAATGCGGTAGCTACCAGACAGACTTGGGTAAAGCCCTAATACAGATGATAATAATAATAATTAAATTAAATAATAATAATTAAAATGATACCTAAGTGAACTAACCATTTACTAAAACAGAAACATGTAAAACCATTAAATGTTTCCTTTCCTAACCAATTTCCATTATCTAAACAACTAAATTCCTGGCAATAAGGGTCTAAAATTCCTTATCATCTGTTCTTTCTGGTTGGGTTGTCTTAAATTTCATCCTAAATGGGGAGAGCACCCATATTCTCCATATTATACTGTGACATGTTGACCCCTACCTCCCCAGCTGCACGTAGCGGTAACGTAGCGCTCGCGTAATAGGCGAGTAATCACCCCGCATCCTGGTAGCTATGCAACGCGCGGTGACGTCACGAGCGGAGCCGAAGTGAGCCGAGTGGAGCCGACGTTAGCCGAGTCTCCGCAACCTTGAAGCTATGCAAAGCGAATCAACAGCGGTGATGTCACCGAGGGATATCGCGGTTGCTAGGCAGCAGTCAACAACTCCGGACAGCGTGGCTAGCAACACGGCACCAGACGACAATTGTCCGATCAAGGCTACATAAGGAGCAGCGAAGTCTATTCACAGTCAGTCAGTTAGTCCGGGAGCTACCGCCGAGTGAGTCCTCGAGCTACCTCCGAGTTAGTTCCGAGTTAGCCAGCAACTAGTCAGTTGTATTCTGGCATTTGGAGTGTAATATTTGTGATACTGCAGATAGCAGTGATCGTCAGATTGTAATTTGGGTGACTGTAAGAGCGAATGTGAAATAAAATTCGCTGTATCAAAGACGGCGTGAAGTTATTTGTCGCGCTATACGCCCGATACGCGACAATACTCTTAAACAGACTCAGAAGACATGGATCTGATACTCTGGGTAAATAAAACTGAGAGAAAAATCTTACCTTCTGATATCTGTGACGCTATATGTGGAATCTGTTCCCTCTTGTACTTGTTGCCTTTAAACATTTCTAGTGCCAAGTCTACATTTACTTCCAGTCTTTCAAATTTAAGGTTTTTCTGGCACAAAGTCACCATCTGACTAGACATTATGCGGAGCTCATCCTGCAAAGGATATTACATAAACAATAATCCTGTCACGATACTGTGCACTTATTCAAAGCTTACTGTGAAGTAACTGTTTGTGTCTATGACTTCAAGTCTCACACTTCTGGTACTAGAGAGTGCAGATAATGTTAAGTTCGAACAAACTACAGCAGACAAGTCAAGGGAAGAAACATGGAATGGTTTGATGTTGTGAGGTGCTACTATTAAAATTACAGATTTGCATAAATACAAGCCTTCTAGTCCTAAATGAAAACATCTGTCAACACATTCTCACCTTCTAAAATCCACAATTCAAAAACTATGTTTCTTAACTTACAACCACCTTGCTATATTACCCCTCCAGCCACATAATCTATCCCCCTGGCCCACCTACTATAAGGTAAAACAAGGTAAAGCTATTCCTGCAACAGGATGTGAAGGCCTATTGTGAGATGTTGAGGCTCCCAATTGTCAAGACAATCAGCTCACAGATGGCAATGACATCATGCCAGCTGCCTTGCACCCCCAGGATGATTCCTTGCACTCATTCCTGTTAGAGGCTGAGTCAACCCCAGGGCCATATTGCACCTGAAGGATTAGGTCAATTGAATGACCTCATCCAAAATAAAACCCGTGACCTGGCTTGGAGCGTAGTTCCTCATCCAACTGCATTATGGCTGACCTACTACAGTGTGTTAAAATGATTTTTACTTTAAAAAGATGTGGTTTAATAATTTTCCAATAAATGTAACAAGGACTGTATTACATCACATACACATAATTATATACTTATTATTATACTGAGGATAATGATGACAGCAAGCACTAACTTACTGGTTAGTGACTATTATCCATACATTATAATAAGTGGTACTTTTAGTGAAATGAACAACTGTCAGGAAGTTAGAGGTGGTATGGATTGCATTGTTGTTAGCAAAACTACTGTACCACTAACAGAAAATATACATTCATTTATGAACACTAATAAAACAAACAATTCTGGGTAGAAATCATATAGTCAGCTTTTCTATTGCAGACTTCAACTACTACAATTCTTCTATCCCAGCCTCCTCTGAGGTGTTTTCCTGTAAGAGAACCTAGCACCAAGTTTCAATCTCTCATGGTTCTTCACATCTTCCTCATACAGGTCACACTCCCTACAAATTTTGTGTTGCTAATAATTTATTTAAGTAATGGCAGTTTCTGAAATTCAGAGAGGGTCAAAACTCAATGAGAAAGTTGGCCTACATACCATATTTTCTCGAATACCCTGCACCCTGGAATAAGCCATGCACCCAAATTTTTAAGAAGAAAAACATAGTTTTTAATATTTAGGTACTAAACAGCAACTAAATATCAAACATTAATAAATGTGTTAGATAATAATCATTATTTTGCATAAAAAACACTTCTGTTATTTCCATTCCTAACTGCAGTTTAGGAATCTGATGAATAATGCATTAAACTCTCCATATTACATATTTCTCTAAATTAAGTGGCTCCGAGAAAAATTGAATAAACTTTTCATCCTTGCCAACCCTATATGCTTTGTTGCTGGCATGCTCAGGCGCATGCGCGTGCACACACACACTTATTCTCACCTGTGAAGGCTGCCAATTGTCTAGGCCTATGTTCACATCATACACAAAACTGCCAGTCTTCACTGCAAAAGAAAAAACACATTTAACTGTGTTCCCTCCATTCTTTCGCTTCTTATGTGGTATGACACATGGACTTCATTCATACAAAATATCAACAACACATAAAATTCATTAATTTTGTTGCTAGGTGAATTTCCCAACAGGAGCCTAGCTGAAGAGTGTGGTCTTCTAGGTTGTATCACTGTGAAATTTGGAGAATACACAGCCTGGAACCCCAAAGACCATACTCTTAATGGTCACTCCTGTGGAAACATGAAATTGAAGACATTCACTGTCATAGATCATCACTTTCGTGGAAAATGTTTATTCATAACAGCTTCTTGAAACATATGTTTTCCATTTTTAGCACACTTTTCTTATTCTGAATGAAAAACAAAATGTAGGCATATGAGATTGCCTTGCTGCACAAAAGCGCACTTTTATATCCCCCCCCCCACAACTTCCAAACACCTGAACTGATTATCATGAAACTTGGTATGCATATCATGCCACCTGAGGCCATCTCAAAGGTGTATTTCATAAATCCCTCCCATCAGTAATACCAACACTGCAGCCTCTCAAGTTGTATTGTTTTACTGACTTCAATCTGCAGACATATTAATTTTTATTTTTTGTGTATTTGTCTTTTCAAATACAGTATGTGCCAAAACTTACAGTACTGAAATGAAAAGACGAACAATATTACCTTGTTGTCATCTGTGAGTTTATTTCTCCTGAAAGAAACTAACATACATGCTATTAGCACGTTGATGTACCATGGTATGCGTAAGGTAAGTTTTCAAAGTGTGCACTGCCTTGCTGTAGACAGTGTTCATATTGTTCACAGAGATTCTCAATCATATCCTGGAACAAAGGTTGCTGCAGACTCCTGCAAAAGGAGACAATCTGTTCGTGTAATGCAGGCATAGTTCTTGGCGGATCTTCACGGTCGAACACACTCTCCTTTAACATTCACCACAAGTAGGCATCAGGTGGTGTAAGATCGGGAGAATGGGACAGGTATGGGAAGTCAGTACCCCATGAAATGGTTCATCCTGGAAAGTTTTCCTGCAGCATGGATAGAGTTTCTCAAGCAGTATGGCTGGTCACCCCATCCTGTTGATACCAATGTCTATTCATGTGAAGATCCCTTGCATGACAGAACCTTCTAAAATCCTGAAGAAATGGTCCGATCACCATGTCCTTGTAGTGTTCTTGGGTGACAGTAAGAGCATTGCCTTCCTCATCCTCAATGAAATACGGGCCTAATATACCATGTGCTGAGACACAGCACACTACAAGAATGGAGAAATTTCGTAACAATAGACAGCATAATTGTGTTACTTTGTGTCATCGTATTAAATCTCTCCTGGAATTGTTCTGTCACCTTTTTCAAACTCAGTCCCCACTCACGACCACTTCCATATGAGTGGAAATAATACTCAACTATGAATACTTTTTCTTCCATTGAGAGACCCATTTCCAACAACAACTGCACAACACAACTCCCTTTTCACTACTGGGAACACTTGCAGCTGAAGCTATGCCCTGTAGACAAACACACATGAGCATTCGAGATGCGCAAGTTTCAGTACTTCATTTTTGGTGCATACTGTACTTAAAGTGTAGTGAAAGGAAAGTAGGCAATCAGTTCTTCTCCGAATTTCTTTTTGATCTATTCTGTTTCCTTCTGTTCAGTCTTCCATCACCTCAAATGAAGTGTGTTATCTTACTAAAGGGGTATCTAAGTAATCACCTGGTTCAATAAAGTAGTGCCCAAGGTAATAAAATCTTAAGTAAGTCTCACAATTCCAGAGAATATGCGAGGCTTTTCTACAGGTGGGACTTTCGGTTAATCCCAGTTTAAAAAAATGTCCTTTCAGGTGACCGCATCCTGTAAATAGTCCTGTTAACCATCTTAGCTGGTTCCTATTGAGCTTCAATAGTTCTGTAGCTATTTTGGCATATTGTAGGAAACCATTTGCATAAGAGCTAAAGGATCCTGACGATGGAGAATAGATATTAAAACTAAAATTCTGGACTATATCCATCGTCCCAGTCAGTTGCACCACGACGTTTCGGCAGCTGGATCTGCTACCGTCCTCAGGTAAGTAAAATGGAGGTAAAAACGGGGAAACTGGGAAAAAAATTAAAGGTAAGGAGGGTTCTTATGTATCCTATACAGTTGGGTCCCTTAGATCAAGCTAATCTCAATCACTGGACAAACTGGCAGGGGACGAGATCAAGGGTGATCAATTCATAGTGGGAAGTTGTCAATGGGAGATAAAAAGACGAATCAAGATAAAAAATTATTGAAAGACACAAATCGTCTGGGACAAGGAGCAAAGAAAGAATTGAAATATTCTACAGGAATATAGAGTGAAGGAGAAAAGGAAAAAAAA